ACATTCCAATGTCAAATAAAAATAGTCTAGGGATTTACTACTTAAGGGAAAGTTTATTACCTACTTTAAAAATCATCCATGTCATTGAGTTCATGTAGTACTGTAGCTAGAGTTAATTTACAGTTGACTACAATCTGTATTCTCACATACCATAAGAACCTCAATTGTATACCCTAAAGATTAGCTATTTCACAGTCTCTATGATTGATCTACAGAAGTTTTATTAAATTCAGAAGTCAGTGATCTCACTGGTAAGCATCTAACCAGATTTTGCTCCTTGGTTACATGTACCAAAGAACATTCCATTATCTGAATTGTTCCAAGCCTGTGGGGTGAGGGAAGTTAAGGCCAAAATCACTGTGAGGGTGTTAAAAACTCTTAGGTTCTCATGCAGTATGTTCATATTACTTTTACCCCTCACTTCCAATAAAAAACATTCACAAAGAGTGTAACAGATCTTGAAATACCAAGAGAGGTGACCTTTACTAAACACCTTCCAGTTCTCTTGGGAAATAAATGAAGAAGAAAGTTATTCACCACCAAGGGTAATATTCCTCTTTTCCATTTTGCCTGAAAGAAGTCAACAAAGGTAGTTTCAAATTAAAACTCAGTTGGAGCAGCTAAGCTGAAAATGGATCTCTGGGAAGAAGGCAAAGGAGGGGACAGGATGTTGTTCATGAAAACTGGCACTTAATTTTAACCTGTAAGACCTTAATCTATCATTTTCCCCCTCATTGCTCCGGTTACCAGGGCAAACCTTGAGATGCAAACTCATAACGTACGATTTGAGGATGACAAAAAACAGGATTTCACTGCACCTAGCACTATTCCTGCACACAGAAGCCTGTGACTCCAGTAAGTTTGAAAAGGGAAAAGGGCTTTTCAAGCAATTTATGTACTAGCATTCAGAAGTCACTACATAGCCACCATGGAGCCCAAACGTAGATCCACCTCCAAGGAGATGGCAGGTTTGTGGAAGGCCCACATTAGAAGTTTGTGTTCATCTTCCACACCCAGAAAAATTCTTAAATCTCCTTAAAATAAGAGAACATGGGGAACACAGTCAAATGTGGCCCCAGATTTGTTTCTATGAAATGAAAACTAATAAGCCAATCAAGTGGTATTCTGGTCATCTCTCTCCACTGATAATCTTCATTAAAGCAGCAGAAAAAACTGATCTTTAAAAAGAAAAACTGACATTCTTAAGTCAGAGATTTTTGTTTTTTTCTTTTCAAATTCTTTAAAGCCACAGTACTTTTTTTAAAAAAAATCTGCTTTATTTCTTAAAAGACACTATGGAACATGACATGTACTAAACTCAAACTGCCGGGGACTTTGCTTGCTGGTTCATAAGCAAAGCCTTTTAGAAACATGTTCTATAAAACCTGCAGACTGGAAAAAATAACTTTCAATCTTGATCAATAAGAAGGCCCCTATGACTCTAGTGGTATTATACATGAAAAACAGCCCTGGTTCTGCTGGAGGAACTATGAAGGAAGAAGTTAGCATCGTTTGAATGAATGATTGTTCGCACAGTACCAGAGCAAGTTCTAATGGCTTCATCCACTTGAGGCCTTGGAAATCATGTCACAGAGGTATACCAGTAGGCTGGCATCTACAAAGTACTAAGCGTTAACACAGCTTTCCTTTTTACTTTTTCCAGTTTTACTTTAATCTCCCCATTAATATCTCTTTTGTTTTTCTGGTTTAAAAAAATGTGGAAGAATAACCCTATATACACTGGATCCAATCCCTTTTCTTCTTCAGATAATGCCATGCATGGATTTATTATTCATCTTAATTTAGACTAAAGGCAAGATTTCCCTCCCCACCTCCCCCCAACCTTCTGCCCAGAAACTACCATTGGGAAATTAATATGCCAGAGGAACAATGGACTCCTCTCCTGCTCTTTACACCTCCTGGTTGCTAGGAGGCTGGTGGACTCTTAGGATTACTTTAGATTTGGTAGCATGGATAGGGAGCTAAAAAGCAGACACAGAAATCGTGGGCCTGCAGATGGAAACTTTCCTAATTTTCCATCTACCCATCCTTTGCAAGACCTCATCAGTCTTCTTGTTGTCTGATCCAACATCTTGAGCTTAAGGCCAAAGGTCAAACCCACAGCTATAAATCACATTTCATACTGGCAATTACTTATTACTAGGTAGAAATGGTGTTGTCTCATTATCAAGCTATCACACATGCTTACAATTCTGCTTAAAGCACCTACTGTGTGTTACATAGGTATACCAAGTCTAAGGGTGTCTTTTTCTAAAAGTTCCTTGTAATTTCTCATTTACCAGGCCTTTTTTTTTAATGCTTATTCTTCTTAATGATCAGGGATATTTGCTATGGGAATTCTAGAAATAACTTTAGCTGAAGTTTCTTTAGGCTCAGTTGAAGTTTCTTCAGATTTTGGCTTATCTTGTTTTTTGAACACAAATACATTTACCCACAGCAAAAGAAAGATGATGAGTAATCACTAAACCAAATGATTGGACAAAGAGAAAGGAAAAAATATTAAAAGTTGCTTCTTTTCTATTTTATGTGCCAAAGGTTCTGTTGTACCCATAGTGATACATTTTAATACATTTGATACATTTTAATCTCCTAAGGGGAAGAGAACTTATAAATGATCTCAAACTGTTTCAATACAGCATTGACTTCTATTAACTCTCCTATGTTGAAAAGATCCTTATTTGAAAAGAAAATAGATTAGATACTCATCCTGCCATGCTACATTTCCCCAAAACTTGCATATAAGAAAGATTCCATCTACTCTTTTCAATGTTGATTGTTGGAGTTTGTCTTCATATTTACTGTTTCTTTCCATTAACACCAACACCTGCTTTTTATTCCATGTACTAGCTGACATCTAACATAAAGGAAAAATAATATCTCTCCCTCCCTATATAAAACTCATATATTCTATCCAATCCAGTGACCCCATAAGGATGTAGAACAAAGTGCTTTACCCTGAGTGGGCACCTCATAAAATGCTGAATGAATGACACAGCTCTTCAGGGGCTCTTGTATTCTCAGCAGTAACCTAACATGGAATCTGCATGAAGAGCCACCAACCTGAAACAGGTTAACTTTCAGGATCACCAAAAGACCAACTCACCACACACAGATCTAGAGCTGAAACCAGAGAATCATATAAAATTAAAAGCATCTTCCTTAAGCCCTGGAAAAATGTCTTGCAACACCAGAAACAGCAAAGAGTTCTTCTACAAAGATGGAAAATGTAATCATAATGAAGCAATGTCAAGAGAGATAAAAATAGGCTCCATGGGAATGTGCCTGAAATTATTAGAGTCTTGCAGGTTTGTTGAAGAAATGGTGGGCACTGCCCCCCAATTGCTTTATGCTTACTTTTGACACTGTTTATTTAAGAGGGACAGAAAAGGAGGGGGAGGTCAAAATGGAATGAAGACATTCAACCCCTAAGCATGTGAAGCCTGGATTCACTCAGTACAGACATGGATCTGTGTACATATGTATTTTGTGGTTAGATTTGGATCTAGGTATATTTTAGAATTTACTGACACAAGTCTGAAGAATACAGTAACCACAGCAGGGTCTTAAATTACTGAAGTATAAACTGTAGTTGTCACTTCCTTTACAAATTTGGCTTTTCATGAAAGAGAAAAAGCAAGGAAGCCTTATTGCCAAAATAGTAGAACATCCTTCTGTCGCCTGATTTTGCAATTTAAAAAAAAAGATAAGTTATTATACTTAGGCTTTGTATGTGGAAATGTGGTCACAAGACATTGTTAAAGCATGAGATAGTGACCCCAGTTTAAAAGGACTTGCTGCTTTAGGAGGAAGACAGTAAAGCGTGCCTGTAAGAACCAATCACCAGCTTAAAACCATCTTTTCCAGTTAAGACAGGACTTAGAATGATTTGGTATGTGATTTAAAATAAAAAGCTTGTTTCTTCCATTACACTGGATCTTAGAAGCAAATCAATGATATTCACAATGAAAAACAAATAATAAAAAAACAACCCTGATGTTTTCCATATCATTACAGACAAGTGGTAAGCAAGAAGGAAGAGCTGGGAAAGCAATAAAAGATTTCTGGGATTTTCCTCCTCCAGCATCTCCTTATCACTGGGTTCCCCCATCGCAAACCAAAGCCATTCTGTCGTTATTTCCACAGGGAACGGGGCCCATTCAGAAAGGCTTTTCAGGGCACACTGCATTTTTAAGACGAAATCTATGTTGAGGCCTCCACTTCCACTGACCGTTTTGTTTGTCCTTCCTGTCTGACATGCAGATTCACGACACAGCCTCCATTCTTTTCCAAGCAACCGAATCCAAAGCCACATAGGTTCAATCCACGCACAATCAGGCGGAGTCTTCAATCCACACCATTAACCCCACAGAATGCCTTCCATGAGCTCCAGCCTAGTTCCCTGCGTGCAAACCGGACGAGCCTGAGATATCTGCGTGCACCCCTCTTCCCCTGACTCGAATCCAGAAGGGCGCGTGGAACCTGCTCCCATTTTTTTATTTTTTTAAAGGCCGATGAGAGGATTGTGTAAATGACCACTAAGGTGGACCTGGTCACACTGCAGGAGCCTGGGAGCCTGGTGCTGCGGGAGACCCCGAACTCGGGCTCTCGCACAAAGCTCAAGGAGGCTGCTGCGTTGGGGGGGGGGGCTTGCGGTCATTGATCCCCCTGCAGCCCCCAAAGGCCTGGCTCGTCTCCCCCTCCCCCACCGCCTCCACCCGCCCGCAACCCCCGATTTCACCTAACTAATAGTACTCCAACCCCATAGGAAGAGGGCCTGCTGTGAATCTTGCAGAGGTACAAAATGGTGGATGTGAGCTAATTTTTCCCCTGCTTTCCCTATAACTTAGCGCATCCATCACCGCGGGTCCTCGGCTCCAAGCAACCCCCCCCCTTCCCGCTTTTCCCCCGCCGCCCAGCCGCCGCCGCGCACCGAGCACGCCCCGCAGACCCGGCCCCGAGGCACCGCCGCCGTGACCAACCTGATGTCATGTAGCCCCGCGAAGCCTGGGGCGCGAAGGCCGCGGGGAAGCGCTTGTGCAGACGGTAGTCCTTCTCGCTGCGGGACCTCATGCGGTCCGAGGCCCGGTCTGAGAAATCCGAGCTAGGCCAGGCTCGCCGCAAGGTTGTGCTCCGGGTCTTCTTCATGGTGTGGAGGGCGACCTGCTGCCCCCGATCGCGGGGCCTCAGCGCCGGGGCGCAGCGCGCTGCTTCATCCGTCTACGGCGGGCACGACCCGGGCGGACTCTGCGCACATTTTCCCAGCCCCTCCTCGTCGTCGTCGGCGTCTACACCGCCAGCAGCGGGTCCGGCCCTCCCCACGCCCCCCCACACCCCCACGGCGAAGGCTCCGATTTTACACACGTCCCACAATGCATTACACTTCATTTGCAATCCGCTCGGCTTATAGCTTCCAGATTCCTGGGGGGGAGGCGAAAGGCACGTTTTGGAGGCTCCGCGGCCAGGAGGAGGCGGGGAGGGGGCGGGCGGGGTGGGGGCGCCGAGACTTGCAGCGTGAAAGCAATGGGAGCGCAGACAATGGCCCGATTCAGCGGCCGGAGTGCTTAGCCAACTGTGTGAGCCACGGCACAAAAGACCCAAACAAATGAGGAAACCGAGGCCTCCGGGGCTGACCCGGGATCCGGCACCCGGGAAGCCGGAGGGGCGGCGGCGGCGGCGGCAGCCCCACTGCGCCAGGAGGCTCTCAGCGCCCGGGCGTGGGGATGACAGTGTCCAAGCCGTGTCCCTCCGGGCCTAGCAGCCGCGCGGCCCGCAGCACGCCCGGGCGTCCACCGGCTCTGCCCTCCCCTGCAGTCCCAAGGCGACCGATCTTCCTTTCCCGAGGCTCGGATGGGGCGGAGGGGTGGGGTGGGGAGCGCAGGGAAGCTCGGGGATCCGGCCCGGCTCCGCAGACGGCAGCTGCAGCCAGGCGAGGCGAGGCTCCGGGCGGAATCCAGGAAGAGCCCGAGTCGTGCAGGCGACTGCGGCGGCCCGTCAATCTCCTTGCTCCCGAGGCTCGGGGCGGTGCGCGCGGGGGAGTGGGTGGCGGGCTGCGCCCACACGCACGTGCGCCCCCCTCCACCTCCACAGGCACGCTCCTACTTACTGACCCCGGCGGCGACGGGAGCCATGGCCGCCGACCGACCCCCGCGCGGCAGCCCCGCGCACCGCTCCGCGCCAAGCGCGCCCCAGAAGCGCTGCGGAAGGGCTTCAGGAAGCAGGAGGGCCGCCCCGGCTCCGGCTCATCACCCCTCCGCCGGCCGCGGCAGCGCCGATCCGGTCAGGCTTCTCATTTGCATGGAAAACACCCTGCAGCCGGCGAGGACCCCGGGACCCGAGCTGGCGCCCCAGCCTGGAGACAGCGCTTGGGTAATTTACATATTTTAGGGTGGCCCCTCCCTCTCGCGGAGAAAGCGAGTCTCCGTGGGAACGGGCAGACCGGCCGCGTCCAGCCCGGCCCACCTGCCACGACCCCGCGGGGAGCCGCGGGCCGAGGGCGGGCCTCCTCCGACCCGTCCGCCCCGTTCGGGGGGCGCCCGCGGCACCCCCGCCTGGAACGCGCCTCGGCGGTTCCCCCTCGGTCCCCACGAGCGATCGTCACTGCCAGCGGGCCAGGCGGCGTGCAGGTCCCACCTCCTGAGCCCCGCTCCGCTCCGCACAGCTGTCTCTGGTCCCGCAACCAATCGCCAGAAGACAACAATGCTGCGCGCGCCGGGCGCGGTGGAGGGGGCGAGCGGGGCGCCCGCCGCCCCGGCCAGGCGCTGGGCCCGGGGCGCCGAGGTCACGCCGAGTTAAAGGCGCCGGGCCACACGGCTGCGAACCCCAACCAAGCTCCGCCACTGCTATTCCGCCCCTCCCCGCCCCCCTTCCTGCCTCCCCCCGTTTCCAACCGCTTATCTCTTCCATTGGGGTTTCCAAAAATGCTTGCGAGCTAGAAACAAGGAAAGAGACATCTGATTTCCTTTTTCGATGCTGTATTTTATTTCACCTTGGAGCATCTTCTCCCCCCCCCTTCACCACCCCCTCGGAGAGGGAGGGGATCTGTGACAATACAAGCTTCACACTCATTTTTATACTGCTTCCTATAGACGGATTCCGAGATGAAGAAACAGGGGTATTAAGCCTTGGTAGAGACATATTTTTAGGCAGAGATCGTTTATGAATTTTAAAAGCCAGAGGATTCTAAATGGCTAAGATTCGGAAGGATTTAGTACAATCTGATGCTATTCCAAGGACTGAATTAGGGGAGAAGGGCAAAGAGGTTCCCTAGGGGACCTTGGAGAGGGGTGGGGCATAGAATCTAGAACTAGAACTTGATCATTTAGTTTCTCAGTCTCCCTTCTGTAACCTGCAGTCAGAATATTCTTATCTCTAAAGATACTGGGGTAAATTAATACATAGCCACTCAGTCTCACAGAAAACTTTTAGTTACACCAATCAATATGGATTAGCAATTGTAAAAGCAATTGACTAATGTTCAATACTGTTTTTCTAAAGTTAGAATAGTTTCCCAAAAGGCACATTTTGTGCACATATCTCCTTTAAGAGAAATGCCAAGAACAGAAAAAGTACAGTTTGAGAACTATATTAGAGCAAATTTGGAAAGAACCTTAAAGGTGATTTTTTTTTAAAAAAATTGTAGTAATGAGGGCAGGGGATATTGACATTTAGATAGCTCCAACAATTACTCAGAACTTCCCGTCAGAACTTCACATGCGCCGCAGTGGTTTTACCGAGGATAATAGTTATGATGTTACAGCTACTGGTGATAGGTGTAGCAACTGTGATATTCATTTGGCAGGTAATTATCGATACCCAGCAAACAGAACACCATAACTAGCCCTCTGCGGCTAATGATCTGTGGAGACGGGACCAGAGTAAGCAAGTAAGTGCAGAGACTGTGCTAAATTCAATGAAGAAAATGCACTATGGGAAATAGACGGGCAGAATAAGGAGGTCTACCCAAGCAAAGATTGGAGGAGATGGGATTCCAGTACATGGGACTAGCCTGTACAAAGGACTGAGGTTAGAAAGAGTTTGGCTTCTTCAGAAGAAATGGTGGGGGCGGGGAGGAAAGGGCCAGTGTAGCTGGAATAAGAGTAAGGTCCATGATGAGGTCACAGAGAAAAGAGAGAGCCAAATCATACAAGGACTTGTAGGCCAAGCTAAAGGCTTTATATTCCATTCCAAGTGCAGTGTGCGTGGTATGAATCACTACATCATTAGAAGCAAAGAAAAAGTGATAGTTTTAGAATTTCTATTCAGAAGGGGGCTTAGAGACATGAGTCTGTCTGAATGGAAGGGTCAACTGGGAAAATCCTAGGAAATATGTTTGAATCTCTGTGTGTGTGTGTGTGTGTATTGGGGCTTGAACTCGGGGCTTCAGGCTCTCACATAGCTTTTTTGTTCAAGGCTGGCACTCTACCACTTGAGCTATACCTCCTCTTCATGCTTTTTACAGACTAATTGTACATAAGAATCTCAGACTTGTCTGCCTGGGCTGCCTTCAAACTAGGATCCTTAGATCTCAGCCTCTTGAACATCTTGGATTACAAGTCTGAGGCCCTGTATCCATATGTTTGGATCACTCTTGACTTAAAATTGAGAAAAAAAAAAAACAATTGTTTTGGACACTTTAGAGAGGACAACTACAGCCGTGCTCAGCCAATTCTGAAAATAGACCTTACAGAAGAATTGGATCAAAAAAAGTAACTAAAATGAATTCGCTGAATCAGAGCAGATGATAAAGATGATAAAATAAAGCAGGAGAGGTAGGGACAGTCAAGAAATGTATTCATCCAAATCGGTAACAGTGCTGTATGTGGTTATGAAGGGTGACATCTAGCAGACAGCATATTGTGAAGCCAGTGCTATTGGAATTCAGTGGATGGGAACCGGACCTGACTCAGAGTATCCCCCTTTGGCATGAAAATATTCACTGCAGTCCAAGGAAATGAAACCTTGTCCCTACTCCTCATTTGAGGCCTCACAGGGAACCTGAGACTATCATATGTATCAAATGCAGGTCATAAACTATCCATCAGGTAATCTCAGTCTTGGACTCTAGTATCCAATACTGGGAAAGCTTACTTACTATCGAAGAAATCAGTGTTTTACTATTAATGTTTTTAAATCAGGGTTAAGAACACTTCACATATGTAGAATTTATGTATCAGATTAGAGATGCTATTGAGGCAGATTTACTTTGAAATTCAAATTCAATTGTGTAACTGAGTTAAGATTTGTGATCTTCAATTGGAAGGTATAAGAAATTTGTCTTTGAATCACCCCATTTGTTAGGAAATGGAAAGACTTGGAAAAAATTATATTAAGTGAAGTAGCCAGGCCCAAAAACACATAGGTCCTATGATTTCCCTTATTTGCAATAACTAGTATATATCTGAGCCAAGGAGAAAAGGTCAAAAGCTATGACCAGATAAGACGATGTCAAGCGAAATGAACCCCAAGATAGGGACGCAAGTGGTTTTTTCTTTCTTGCTATTGTTTCTAATGTATTCTAATGTTTCTAATGTAATGTTTCTTATGTATCACAATGTACCATGTGATTTTTTTTTGTTGCTTTGTATGTTCCTCCCCCATGGTATAACCCCTGTTTCACTGTATTTGATGTCAGCATAATTTGGGGAGGGGAAGGGAAAAAACAAAATGTTTAAATAGGGATACATGTTGACCCATTATATCAATGAGATATACAAGACACTATGTTGAAAAACGAACTTTACAATTTAGGCCGGGAGTAGGGGGTAGGGTGTAGTTGAGGAGGTAGCAGGGAAGGGATGTAGGGGAAAAAGCAAAGAAGGAGGCAACAATGCTTGATAAGAAATGTACTCATTACCTTGCTCATATAACTGTAACCCCTCTGTACAGTATTTTTACAATAAAAACTTATTTTAAAAAAGAAATTTGTCTTTGAAACTCTCTTCATTTAAGACTTTATAGGAGTTTTAGTGATTAAATGAGTTTGTTACAAAAATGTGAATACCACAGGGCGAGGGACACTTGTCCTATTTATGGTTGCTCATTGTCCTTACAGCTACAACTTCTTTAAAGACGATACACAAATGGCCAACAAGCACATGAGAATCTTCAGTATTACTAAGCACTAGGGTGACCATTACTAAAAAGAAAAGAATATAGCAAGTGTTAGTAGTAACTGCACTGTTGGGCAGGAATGCACAATGGAATACTATCCAGTCCTCAGTAGGAAAGATCTTCTGATTGCAACAAGAGACATAAACCTTGTGCTTTAGCACAAAAAGATACTGTGTGACCCATTTACATGCAATATCAAGAACAGTCAAAATCATAGAGACCAAGTATGGTGGTTGCCTAGGGCTGGTGTGGGAAAAGGAGAGGCAATGTTTAATTGGTAAAGAGATTGATTATTACCAGATAAAGATGGACCTTGGTAATGCATGGTCTTCTGAATGTATTCAATTTCAATGAACCATAAGCTATTCTGAATGCATTCAATTTCAATGAACCATAAGCCTAAAAATTGTTAAGAATGGAAAATTTCTTCTATATATCTACTTTAAGAAAAAATTAAATTAAATACATCAAATTTACAAGTACAATTGAAGTGCTTAAAAGAATACATTTAACCATATATCTAAATAGGTATAATGGTTGAGTCAAGAGAATTTAGTCTTCAGTTTGAGTTATTCAAATGCTTTGCAAAGACCTCCCAAGAGTTATGGTTCTTATTTTTCATTTTAAAAATATCAACCTTACAACTAGAATAAGCTGAGTATAAAAAGCTAAGGAAACTTGTATCTTTGCCTAATACAGTTGGATTGGCAGTATGTGTTAAAGGTTTGGTCTGCAACTTAGCTCTTGGGGAGCAATGGAAAATTCAAGAAGTCTCTTCAGCATCCTCCTTTTAAATTCCAATGCAGTATTATGTACTTAATTCAGTTTAGAAGCAAAAATAAATTGACATATTTATTATTAAAATTTAATTGATTTGAAAGACCTAAATCAAATTTTCCTCCCCATTTGGTCAAACACCATTTACGTGTTTGCAGATAGGGCCATGTGTCATTTGTGCTAATCTAATCTACCTACAACATTTCCAGATGGATAAAGGTAACTGTAGGAGTGTCCTGCTCTATGCTCTGTGTCCTATGACCTGCTCAGCCTAGAGTCTTCCATGTGTTCAAAGCTTAACTCCTGGTGCAGGCACTGCAGAGTAGAAGTATGCTGTCAAATGGGACAAGTCCCTAAATCACTGTGTAAGGGTAAGGAAGTCTCTCACCTTATCTGCAGAGGTGACACTCATTTCCCCATACCAGGACGTGGTACAAAAAAGTACATAGGGGTACAGTGAAGGCAGCAGTATCTGTGATACTTCACAAAATGTTTATTCCTTTCTGGAGGGAAATGGAACTGAGGCTGCCTTGGGATTCCTAACTCTTTTTTGTTGTTGACGATCTAGTGAGCAATATTCTTTGTTTTTTCTTGCTGCTGCTGCTGCTTTCTTCCTCCATCTTCCCTCTCCTTCCTCTTCCTTCTTCCACTTCTTCCTCCTCTTCCTCCTCCTTTTTTTCTCCTTCAATTAGCTTCAATTCGTTGTACAAAGATGTTTCAGTTTAACATGTGCATTTGTGGATACAATGTATCTCAATCCAGTTACCTCTTCCATCCTTTCCTCCTGCCTCCTTTCCCTCTTGCCAGTCCCATTGATTTTCCTTGTTCCATCTGCACACCCTTACCCTGTGTTTGCCTACCCCTGACCACTAGTACCCACAACCAGGGATTCATGCAACCAGAGATTCATGCATGCTAATGAGATATCTTCTCCCAACTGCCCTCTGGGATCTCATTTGGTAACATAGAATGTTCAGCAGGCCACAGTCTGTCCTCTGACCTATGTCCTCCTCACTATCAGGAGGTAAGAATTATTTTGTTTTGT